CGAACTGTAAAGACAATGATTGTCTCTTGGGTGTAGGCGAGTCGTTGAGGAAGGAGAGGTCCTGCCTACTGAGATCGCCCTGATCATCTCGTCGTTGGGATGCGCGCGAAAGAACGAGTATTGTCAGCCCCGATCCGCTCCGGATCCCTGCGCCAGATGTCCCTCATCATCAACAAGTACTACACAGCTTCTACGTTGAAACGATGTATGGACCCCCTGATCGCCGACTTAGACCTTTTGAACCCCGAGAAACTCGACCCTCCCAGGATACGCATTATATTTACCTGCCTCAAGGGCATCGTCCTTCGCAGCAGTCCCATCCTCAGTACACTCTACACAACTATACTAAACCTCCTCTCTCATCCACAATACGGTACGGCCGTCGCCCACGGATTCTCCACGCTTCTTCAACCCGACGACCTCTTGATCAAGCAAAACCACTGCCAGATCCTAGGTCTACACAAACACAAGACTTTTGCGCTCTTAGTACCAAGCATAACACAGGCTTTCAGAGAGGCGGATGCGCAAACGAAGCCAAATTACCTCATTGCGCTGGCCGGTGCTTTGCGATGGATGCCTTTTGACATTGTTGTCGAGGAAGTAGCCCAGCTGACTACACTGCTCTTGCAATCCCTCGACCTCAAATCCGCTGATGGTGTCAAAGAAGCAGCCCATCGGCACGCTTAATGAGCACGTTGAGCGAAAAGCCTGCAGGTGCTGGAACGAACACGCCTAGCGCACTGATTATCGCGACTTTTGACCAACGCTACGGGCAAGGGACCAGCGGGTGTGAGGGTAGCAGCGCTGCGGGCACTGACGCTCGTGGCGGAGAAGTTCAAGCGCGAGACAGTTTTGCCATATCGCAGACAAGTGGTCAAGAAACTGATAGTCGCGCTGGATGATGGGAAGAGAGAGGTTAGAAGCGTGGCGGTCAAGTGCCGGGCGAAATGGCTGGGTATTGATGACGAAGATGATGATTAGATATGAAATGCAGGGACTTTGTAGTTTGAATCAAACAAATCATCTCGTCTGTATTGAACACTTTTTTTTTTTTGGATGTCAAGCGCCTATTGCAAGATGGTATAATAAAATCCCTACACCGCGTTCGATCGAAAATGCCTTTTTAACGCCATCCATGCAATGTCTCGTTCTTTTTCGCGTGTACTGATTTAGACACGCGCCTTCTTGGGCGTCGCCTCGTCATCTACACTCTCTCCACCGGTCTCATCACCTCCAGTCTGTACCGTCTGGACATCGTTCTCGTCCCTGTCTCCTCTACTCCTCTTGAGACCCTTCATCTTCCTTGTCTGCATGGTGCCCAGGTCCTGCTTACCCACATGGATCTTACCAGTCTTGTCTCCCATGACATCCGTGTCGATGTTCTTCTTCGTCCTCGGCTCGGCACCCTTTGGCTTCTTCAGCGCCGCCTTCATCATATCCGCATCGGGGAACTGTTCGCGACCAAGCGAGAAGTCCATCCTGGGGCCCATTTCCTCGACCTCGACACGGGGCAGCTTTTGTCCCGAGCGCTTGGTGCGGATCAAGTAGAATCGCAGCTTGATTTCGGGGTTTTGCTTCGCGTCGGTGGGTTCTTGTGCGGAAATGCTGATCAGGTATTGTAGGCCCTCGACGTCGATTTCCTCGGCGTCTTGGCCTTTGAAGAAGTCGATGAACAGGCTCTTCGCAAGCGTGTACTTGGTCTGGTTCGGGTCTTCGAAGACAGTGCCGTGGAAGGCTAGGAGGGGCTTGAGGCCGATCGAGGGCTTCTTGTTCTTGAATTGCTGGAGGGTGCGGAAGGTGTCGGGGTTGATGTACAGCTCGAGCATGTCGAGGATCTTGTGGGAGAAGGTGCGGGCGAGGGTGAGGCAGTGTGGGCGCTTCTTGGAGTGGAGGGAGAGCATGATGAGGGAGGTGTCGTTCTTGAGGGAAAAGAACTCGAGGGCTGTGGGATGTTAGTACTCTGCAGTCGCATTGTCGCATATGGTATGGGACGTACAGGAGGCATCGTCGAACGGGTGGATGTCGTTCTTCTTGGTGAACCTCTCGCAGAAGGGTCGCTTGAGCGTGCTGAGATCGGCGACGGCGAGCTTGAGGATCTGAGACGTCCGTTGGCCCGTCACGAAGAGGGTCGTCTTGGGGTTCTCGTTCTGCTGCGGCTCGCGCTTTGCCATTGCGCGCTTGGCGCGGGCATTTTTGGGTTTGCTGGGAGAGATGTCAGCATGTCATGTGCTTGATGCTCTCTACTGGACGCTGTGCGTACACTGTCTTCAACATGTTGTCGCTGCTTTGGTGTATGTCGGCAACCGCGAACTCTTGGCAGTAACTTTTTCTTGAGAATCGATAACGGGCCGGCGAAAGGGTTTGTCCGATCTGATAAGCCCGGCGGCGGCGAGTTCCGTGGTGGAGGGGCGCTCTCACTGGCTTTGGTTCCGCACATCGGCGGGGCAAAGCGCAAGAGCAAAGCACGTCAGAGAGTCGACTATTACTTATCAGATCATTATTTGTGAGCTGCTTCTCCGCGCTTTTGCGTCTGCCACAAGACTCTGCTCTCTCAACAGCTACTCCCCCTCCGAGTCTTGTATTCCATTGCGCGCCCCTGCACGCTTTCCACTCCAAAACTCAAACACTGCCATGGCGACCATTCAAGACGTTGCCGACGAGCAGGCCTTCCTGTCCACCATCTCCACGCTGCCCGCCTCCACCCTCGCCGTCATATACTTCCACGCGCCATGGGCCAAGCCATGCGAGCAAATGTCCATCATCCTCAAGACGCTCGCCAGCACATACCCCGCCGACGCGCCCATATCGTTCCTCGCGCTCAACGCCGAAGAAGTCCCAGAGGTTTCCGAAGAGTACGACGTCACAGCTGTTCCATACATTGTGCTGCAGAAAGACGGCAAGACGCTAGAGACAGTTTCGGGGTCCGATGCCGCCAAGGTACGAGCGGCGGTGGAGAAATATGCTGGTGCGGGCTCAGGCTCAGGTGACTCCAAAGCAAATCTGCCACCAGCGCAGACAGTTACACGACCAGCGCAGACGAATGGCACGGACAGCGCGGGCAAGAACTTGGCCGGCTATGCGCCAGGCGCCCAAGATCCGAACACTGCGCCCGAGTACAGCGCGAGCGAGCACCGCGAGGGCGAGCAGCAGACAAACAAGGAGGAGCTGATGAAGAGGCTAGGCGAGCTTGTCAAGGCGGCACCCGTCATGCTGTTTATGAAGGGCACACCAAGCGCACCGCAGTGTGGCTTCAGCAGGCAGACGGTCAGCGTACTGCGCGAGAAGGGCGTACGGTACGGCTTCTTCAACATCCTGGCCGACGACGAGGTTCGGCAGGGTCTGAAGGAGTATGCGGATTGGCCAACTTTCCCACAATTGTGGGTGGATGGTGAGCTGGTTGGCGGTCTTGATATTGTAAGTTCTTCTGTATTGTACAACGAATCACAAACCCATGTTAACAGTTACCCTAGGTCAAGGAAGAATTTGAGAACGACCCCGAGTTCCTCTCACAGTATTCACGTTCAACAAAGCAGCGGCTTAGAGACCTCGACCCACATACCATCTGAGGAACGAGCGATGATGAAATCGAGCCTGCAAGTCACACCAAACAAAATGTCAAGACTAGGAATATGGGTGTAGGAAGAGCTCAAGAGATAATGTCTGTCCCAATACCGTTGATAAGGATTGAACTCTAAGTGTACTTGTGCCGGCTCAAGCCGACGGCTGGATACGATGTTATGATCTTTCTGGTCTCCTGCTTCCATGGAACGCAGTTTGTGAATACATTTACTTTCCACCTATCCACCTAGTCTTCACGCATGCACCCGTGGTTATCTTGGACCACAATTTTTCTCTGCAGCTTGATCGCTTCTTCGCTCTAGTAGTTTAAATGTACAGACATGTGTTGGCACTCTTCTCCAGATGCATGTACACGCTTATTTGCCAGACTGACACCGCGCCGTTCAATTCATGACCTATTTCCCCGTACGACATGTCTCCACCCACTAGTTCTGTACCATGACTTCACTCCGGCTCAATTATTGGTGTAATCATCCTTCAGGTCTGCCAGCAACTTTGGCAATACTGTATCAGTATACGCCCAAAGCGTACTGCTGTATGGCGCACCCCATATAGACCCCGTATACCACATATTTTTATATCCCTGAAGCGAGTACAAGTCCTGCACAAACCCTTCCTTGAGCTGCGCAGCGCTCTGCTTCCACACCGGCCTGGTGTGATCGCTCATCGCCTTGAACTCCATCGTACAATTGCCCGTCACGGTTCCAGCGTCTTGAATTTTCTGCACGCCTTCTGCTACCAGCCTTTTATACTCTGCTGATGAAATCGTGTAGTTTGCTCCAAGAATGACGCGGAACAGACCAAGCCCCGTGGGTCCAGTTGAGTCGAAACGCAGAGAGTACGGCCAGTCTTTGATCGCGACTTGGTTGTTGGGCAATACTGCTGAGGGTATGTAATTGATCGAGAAGTTCTCTGGTATGCATGATATCTTGGCAACGCCGATCCATTCGCCGTCAATGGCCCATTGCGAGAAGATGCCTTTTTCTTTGTCGTCGAGATCGTATGGCGCAAGGGCGGTGAGGCTTGGAGGTGCAGTGTATAGGATGCGTTTTGCGTTGATTTGATATTCTTTATCACCTTGCTTGACTCGTAACGTCGCTCCGTTGGAGTCTCGCTGGACGCTTTGGACAGTGGTCGAGAGAAGGACGTCTTTGTGGAGCAGAGCCAGAGCACGTTGGTAGATGAGACTGTTACTTTCGATTGGAAGAAAAAGCTCGCCGTCCAAGACTTGCCGAGTGAGTGTTGCACCAAAGGCTTGCATCAGATTGAATGTGAGCAGGTGACGGATGCCTCCATATCCAACGCCGGAGATGGAGACGATGCGCGGTATGGCGGCCTCGAGTTCATTCTGCTTTACAAAGTCCTCGACAGGCACCAGAAGCTCCGCTGGAATATCTTGCGGTTGTGGGAAGTTCCAATATCCGGGCTCGAGTATATATTCGTACTTGATGACGATGTCGAGCCATCGCTTCAGCGCTGCAGTTGTAGCATTGGCAGCTGGTGAAATATAATCTTCCAATCTCGATCCCGTTCCGACGTCAACATTGATGGCCGTCAGTCTTTTGGCAGCAAATGGCAATGTGCTGATGTTGAACCGCGCATAAAAATCGAAAGCGGCTTGATTGCGTACGTATGACTGTACACCGTATTCGAGCGTGGTCTTCGTCTCGGGTACGGTGTACGTGCTGACATGGCCTCCAAGGTGGTCTCTTGGTTCTATCACAATGATACTGGTATTGAAGTCTCCGCGTAGCCTGACGGCACTGTAGGTCCCCGTAGCCCCTCCGCCTACTATGGCAATTTCGACATTGAATACCTGTCGTTGATCCGAGCCAGAGAATTCAGTAAATGCTGAGATGCTTTGAGCACTGGCGCACAGCATAAGCAGAGTGATTCTTTTGAACATGTCGCGATCGTGGAATTATAACAAAAAGCTACGAGCGATAAAGCTGATGTCTTAAGTAATGCTCCACAAACCAAATACAAGGACTGGTAGATGTCATTGCCGGAGGTTAATCTACCATTTCATAGCATATTTACACGTTACACAGCGGCTAAAAGGAAGCTGACGGCGTACAAAGCGCAGTACAAGCAGGAAAGCACACTTCAGGATGCGCGAAGTATTGCATGCAGACAGGCGCATATCTTGAACTGGTTTTAGATGAGCCAAGAACTCGTTGAGGCATTGTTTATGTAGGGACCGGTCTGGCTGGCTGACATGCAGATTCCACGAGGGGCTCCAAATCCTTCGTTCGCTTAGTTGGTGGCCTGAAACCTTGAGCTGTTGCCTTTAAGAAAATCTCGAATGAATGGCAGAAGTCTGTAGCTAAAGTACTCAAGCGTGCATGCAGGCGGGCGAGTATCGTAGTGAAGGTTTCGCGAAAGGAAAGTCACTGCGCCTCCAAAAGACACGCCGTGCCGCTCGGACAAGAACCCGAATTCATTGGTCATGCTTTCTTGAAGATGGAAACTCTGGCGATGTGGAAGTTGATGTGTTGGAGATGATGCAACCTAGGTCGGCACTAATAGCGTTCCCGCCTGCCGCGCGTGAGTGGGGCGGAGAGCGCGCCGGGTACGGCCTCACCCTCGATGCATCGACTCTTCACGGACCTTGCTGCGCCCAGCCATCTCCATCACAAATTCCCAAAGACGGTCACGCGCATCTATACGACTCTCAACGCAACAGTTTGCTTCCCAACGACCTAGGTAGCGAACACCCTTGGTCGGATATGCCCGTGGTACCCATGAACACACAGTGCGTTTCCTCTTTGTAGACTCTGCATACGCCCAACCCTCTCACCCACTCTGTAGCTCTTTCCTATAATGCCACGGACTCTCTCTCTGTCTCTTTATTCCTCTATGTCGCTGTCTACCGTGTTCGTGCTCTTCGGCACCTGAACGAGGCCACCCCCAACTTGCAGATCCTGATATCAGAGCATTGTCGGACTCATCTCAAAGACCTTATCTTTTCAAAAGCTGGTCTCAATTCGTGGGCGTTTGTCGGCATATAATATATCATCCTCGTCATCAGTTTGACATGTGGGCCGAAACGGCACGGCATGCTCGGGGCTTTCGGTAGTCGCCCACCGGAGTGAAGGGTCGGCGAGTGGTGGATACTATGAACAGGTATAGAACGGTAGGGCTTATCGTGAACGGCCGTCAGGGACCGTCGGCCAGTGTCAATACTACTCGCCGTTAGTTGTGGTCAACCCTGCTCGACTTGGGGTAGGAGAGATACATGTACAACGTTTGACTCGTCAACCTTGTCCTTATCTATCGGCTTCAACTGTAGTTTCTTTACCCCCATACACCACACCGGAACGATACCGCCGTCGCCGTCTTCGGGCCTCATGTCAGGTGTTTTTGAGTCTGGCCCTGTTGCTTAGCGAAGTCGCTGTGGCTCTGCAAATAGTGGATTGAGCTCCACGTGGACGATCATGTCTTCCTTAGGCATAGACAGGGTCCCCAGGGAACGCCGCGGATCTATCAGTGGCAAACTGTTGTAATGTTCAAGCTACTGGAGAGTTTGTGCAGTTCGTTCTATGGAGGTTACCAAAGTATTGTCGCCTTGTGGAACGTGTTGAAAGGTATAAGAAGACTACAATCTTCTAATCGTGATACGACAAGCTTCGTCCAACTGTTCCCAACACTTCCTTCAGCCAGTAGAGCAGCATCTACGTAATTCCAAGTTCGCTTACTCGCCGGACGTTGTGCGATCGCATCCCGGTGCCACGGGCTTTCGGACATTTTTGGTTCCCCGACGTGCACCTGCATATTGTGCCGTGAATGCTTCCGCCCTAACCTCGCTTCTTTACGCCAAAGTATGCACCTCTCGGGTGAAGTAGACAACAACCTCCCATGTAGTGCTACAAGAAGCCCACGCTCCGATATCATCCTTGATAAGCTCCGTGTCTAGTTTGTGCGTGGCTTGCTACCCACCACACCTCCACCTCCACAAACCGAAGTAGCGTCAAAGGCAGCATGACACGGATCGCCCGTCTTTTTCACCGAGCAGCGCAAAGACTTCCATTTACGTAAATATGGAGATACGCAGGGTCTCTAACGGCGACACTTGCGTTCGGGAGCTACGAACTATGCAGATACGAGCTATCGCGGAGAATAACTTCGAGTCAAGAAACGCGAGGTGCCTATGATGTGGATACAGTGGGAAAAAATTGCCATCTAGGCAAAGATTACGAACTAGCCGAAGTCAAGATAGGAAGACTACCTTGTACAGAGAAAGGTTGGTCGAATATAAATACCTTGACGACTGACCGATTGTTCAATATCCTCAGCCATCAAGCAATTCTCAACAACCTCCTGGAACTTGCGAAGCATTCGTGACAATGCGGGCCTCTTTCAACACCGTTCTCCTTGGGCTGTCACTATGCTCTGGCATCGCAGAGGCGATGCCAAAGGCCCCATGGGTCGAGCAACACGCCAGGACCCGAGGCAGAAAGCATTTCACTGCGTCTGTCGAGAAACGCAATGTCACTGAAGATCCTCCGGACTGTGTGGCTCCAAAGGCTCAATTGACCAAAGCCCCCAAAGCGAACATTTGGGGTGGGTTGTCAGGACCGGAAGCCTCTGGGGTCGTTTCGTGGCTTTTCGCACAGCCAGAACTGAACTTGACCGAGTCGGAGAAAGCAAGCAACTGGGATAATACCATGTGAGTGCTATCCGTGGAACAGGCGCGACATCGAGATGCCGTTTGCTGACATTTACATGCAGTGTCACAGTCGAGCTCCTGATGCCCAACAAGACTGATGCACTTGCTTATATGGACACAAACGCTACAACACCAACACGTTATGCGAGAGCTGTACTGGACATTCGTGCGACCGAAAACGCATACTTCCAGGAGATTCGCGTCGGACCTTTGCCATTGGTCAACGGTACCACCAAGTGGGAACCACTGGATTACACGTGGACACGAAAGACCGGGGGAAAAGTACGCAATCTTGTTCCGGACGTCGATATTATGCACGACGAATGGCTTTACAAGATCGGTGCCGAAGTTGCAGATATTACCAAGGACCTTTGGAACATGACTATGCTGGGATTGGACAACGACACATTGATCACTTGGGGCATTGATCCACCAACCGAGGTCGATGGTCGCTTCCAGCGATGGGATCAATTTTGGAGTATGCCTCAAGGCATATTCGACGTCACCTCCAACATGCAGATGGGCCTCTTCTTCCTATCTGACGTGACGGGGAGGGATCCTTCCAAATGGACCATTGAGGGATGGTACTACAACGGCATCTTTTATGAGACGACCGAAGAATTCAGGACTGCCTACTTTAGTGGCAACTTCGAGAAACTCCTAGGAAACGTTGATGGCGAGTGGGCTCATACTGATCAGCGAGGCCCGATCCTGCCCCACGACACAAAGACTCCCCCAGTGACAGTTGCTCCTCAGGGTGCCAGGTTCTCCGTCGACCATGAGAATAAGTACGTTGAATGGATGGGCTGGAGTTTCTACATTGCCTTCAAGCACGACACAGGCATGACCTTCCACGACATTAAGTACAAGGGCCAACGAATTCTGTACGAGCTGGGAATGCAGGAAGCTCTCGCTCACTACGCTGGTAAGTCCTGTACTGATAATTTCTCAATCTAGTATGTACCGGCTGACCATCACAACTAGGAAGCGATCCTACACAGGCAAACTCGGCCTACTTGGACAGTCTGTACGGTTTCGGGCCATTCGCATTCGAACTTCTCAAGGGTTACGATTGCCCCTCTTACGCCACCTACATAAACTCCAGCTTTTATGTTGCAGAGACTACGCACACCCATCTCAACAGCATCTGTCTTTTCGAATACGATGCCGATTTCCCCATGTCCCGTCACAGCACTGCCAACTACGTGGCGGCAACCAAGAACATTTACTTCACGGTCCGTTCCGTATCAACCATCGGTAACTATGACTACATGTTCACATATAACTTTTACATGGATGGCTCCGTGGGTATCGAGGTCCGAGCATCTGGCTACATTCAGTCCGCCTTCTACGCCAAGAACGAAGACTACGGATTCAAGATCCACGATCAGCTATCCGGCTCTCTACACGATCATGTCATCAACTTCAAGGCTGACTTTGACATCTTTGGCACCAACAACTCTGTACAGCTGATGGACCAAGTACCTATCAAGACCACGTACCCATGGTCCAAGGGTAGAGAGTACAGCACGATGAAGCTGGAAAGGCGTTTTCTTGAGACGGAAGACGAGGGCCGCTTTGATTGGCAAACTTCGCGACCACAAGAAGTCCTTATCTTAAACGAGAACGAGAAGACCCGACACGGAGAATACCGGTCTTACCGAGTCATGCCATATACAGGTACCGGCCATCTTACCATTGAAAACTCCAGTGTGCTTCTCAACTCCGCAAGATGGGCTGAAAGAGATCTAATGTTCTCCGTTGCAAAGGAGACGGAAGCGAGATCTGCTAGCATCTTCAACACCATGGACAAGGCTAACCCACCAATTGACTTCAACGAGTTCTTTGATGGCGAGTCTCTGCGAAACCAGGATCTCGTTCTTTGGTTCAATCTGGGCATGCACCACGTTCCACATACGGTATGTCCGGTCACGATGAACAGGTTTGAAGTTCCCGGACTAATATATCTTACAGGGCGATTTGCCAATGACAGTCTTCACAACAGCGCACTCCGGCGTTCACTTCACGCCAGTCAACTACTTTGAAGGAAGCCCAAGCGTTGAGACCGTTAACATGGTCCGCATCAGGTAGGTTCACACTGTACAAAGCCAGCACGTTCATGTACTAACCTCTATTGTAGCTACAAGAACGGTACCACATCCAGCGTCACGTCATTCCAGCAATCGAACGAAGTATGTGAGTTGGATTATGAGCCAGCTCACGTGGATCTGTGGGAGTACACGGGTGATGTTGTGGTTCGGAAGTACCCGTATGACCCGAGCAACCCTTACTACTTCACCACATTGGACATACCGTTGTAAGTGGAGAGCTATTTGGACCTGATGTAGATATGGTGGGGGAGAGGCTAGAGCCAGAATGTCTGGGAAGAATCAAGTACGGCTGGTGGATAGGTTTCATCGGATGAATTATGTCCGATAAGCTCATGTGTTATTACGAATCGGTGCAAGGGGAGCTGAATTTTAAATCTTAATCAAATTTCGATCATCAAATTTACGAATGCTGTTTCCTTAACGGCCAACATGTTTTAGCTCTAGCCATCTGGCCGGTGGATATACGATCATCGTCAAACCCATTGCCACTGGCAGACCGAGGTCGGCACCGTTGCCAACAAGCGCAGCAATCGGGCCAGTGAACCAGGTCTGATACATACAGAGCACAGCACCCACCCAGCCAATAACGAAAGCGAACAACGCAGCGAATCCGTGAGGAAGCAGGTCTCTCCTGTTCCAGATCTCCCAATCATAGCTGCCTTTACGGAAGATGTATTCATCTTGGGCAGTCATCGTGATCCAGATAATAGTCCTAAGATGTGAGAGTACGAAGTCAGTGTATGTCTCGTATGCAGTTCGTACATGTAGTTACGTACCAGTATCCAATTAGCGACAGCCAATTGATGAAAATATCAAACAGATTGTCTCGTCCGGCTATCGCAATAATCGTGAATACAATACAGCTGAATGTACTCCAGATTGGTCGGGGAATTTTGGCCCATGGTGCACCCAATTGTTGCCAATTCAGTGCTGCAGCATAAGTTCCAGGAATGTTGTTCGCCGCGATGCACACGGCTAGAATTACGCAGCACAGGTTGCCGAAGGAATTGAGCGGTTTGTAAGACTCTACAACTAATGCTCCAATACCGTGAGATTCGAATGCTTGTTCCCAAGATGGATTGAGGAGGAGACCCGAGCCTAGTCCAATACCAAGGAATTCGATCAAGAGTTTGCCTGCGGTGATACCACAAGTTGTAGCTGCGAAAGTACCCCAGCGTTTGGTAGTCTTGGGATAGTACACCACGTAGTCGGCTGATGCGGAGGACCAGCTCAGTGGCCCTGAAGCAACCAAGAAGAAGTAAGAAAGGCGATTGCCGTGCAAGACCGCTCCATTCCCTCGTGAAGGGGTCGATGTGTCGAAATGCGGGCCAGCGACGCCAATTAAGACGAAGAGGACAAGTACAGTAGGTGCCCAAACAAATCTACGGAAACAGTTAGTCTATATTGGAAGTATGCACACGACACGTTGCTCACTGTTCAAACTTGTAGAACCATTTGATGCCGAAGGTCACCACTACCCAGGTGATGAGTGCGACGATAACGATACCGACGATGACTGACATCCCTCCACCATTTACCGCCGAGAGCAAGAGACCACCAACTAAGCAGTCAATCAGGCCATACCCAAGCTCAATACAAAGATTGAGAATGACGCAGAGTTTCGAAGGCCACCAGCCCATGGTGTATTTTGCGACATTCAGGGTGCGCAGGCCAGATCGAGGTCCGAAGGTCGATATGTATCCGGTACATAATGAGCCGAAAATCGTTCCAAACATACAGATGCTAAATCATAATCAGGAAGTATTGGACGAACGACGTACATCCACCTACAGTATCGAGTCTGTGAGACCAAGGCCGTAGCTCACAGGACCAAGCACACCAAGTGTGAGCTGGTTGGCGGTGCAGTTCATCGAGAACCAACTTGTGACGCATCAGCTCAGCTTCGCGATATTGCGATGATCTTCTTACATTGTGAACATGTGAATATAGTCCTTGTAACTCATATCTCGCTCACGTATTTCCTCCGGTATCCTTTCGATACCACGAGCTTCAACACCACATACGGCATCAAGTCTATTGCAAAAGCGCTGCAGCGCATTTACAGGTTCGCTGATGCCAAGCTCAAGTGTTGCAGCGTTGACGCTCGAGGTTTCGAATTTCTCGAGAGCATCGGGGCTCTTTTCAGTGGCCATTGTAAGGTTGCCGTTCGCGCGGACGATAATTGTTCGAACAGCAACAGCAAGAAAGACCTTTAGAAGGTATTTACCAGAAGTGTAGTGCTGGTAGCAACCTCGGTGGCAGAGGGGTTTTTCATTGATGCTCTTATTGCAGACTATAAGGCAAGTACAATCTCGTTCATAATCTTCAAGCCGTATCTGACCAATACTTCTCCATCACTGGGATATTCGCGGGCGGTATCACGAGAGTGGGGCGATCCAGTACTTTCTAGGTTTACGCCTATCTGAATCCGGGCTATCCTATCTTGACTATCAGCCATCTGAAGCTATAATCTGGGGTCAACGAGGGTAATCCCTACACAGCACGAGCCACTGATACAGTATGGTGGAGCATCGGAAGGAACACAACAGGTGGTAATCGTAGTTTGTTGCGGGGAAACCAATGTGCCGAGTGCGCGTCGGTCCTTCTCCCACTTTTGAAGTGAACGTTAGAAGCACAAGAGTGGGGAACGGAATGACGGGCAACAACCTTCTAGACTCGCATCTGCCAGTGGTAAGGAGGCTCATGTTATCTTGAAAGATAGGTTGGAATAGTCTTTGAAACGCGACTGCGCTGAGGAAGTAAGTCGAGCCACGATCTGGACGTAATCTTGGACACCTATTCCGCCCCTTGTCTTCATATATGTGTGTTTGTAGTGAAATCAATGGTCGGAAGACCTATGTTTCCTTGCTCAAAGTGTATGGATCTCAACGACTAGTTTCGCAAGATTGTATAAAGCCAGAGATGGCGTCTGCTTTCAATGTTCCGTCTGACCAGCTCCATGTGTCCAATTTGCCTAGGCCCAGGGGGGAAAAGCGGCGTCACGGCTCTTCAACCTGTCGCGAACCTGCATTGCGACAATCCTGACATCCTTCTCGGAAACATGTGAATCTACGCCGCTGCACCTTTAGTAGCCTGAGTATACCCTGGCACATACGTTAAATTGCTCTACATATCCAGGAATCGTGGGCCCTATCTGAGAGGATCATTCGTGGCCTGCTTCCCATATGGGCATGATACCGCAAAGTAACGTGATCAGACACGACGTCTGCAAGATCCGGCTACGATTTTTTGAACATCTGTGGGGTGTCTTACGACAGCAAGCGCGCGAATCTGATAGAGTGCGTAGGTAGATATCGTCAGATACCCGATGATAGACCGATCACTCTCGAAGCTGAATCTCGACGCGAAACACACAGAATGGTCTTCACAATGGGACAGCCGTGCTGCTTCTCATCACGTTGCTCGATGCTTCAAGATCGCGGCTCAATCACACGGGGTGTACGAGAGTGAACATTCGAAAGTGTCACACTGGTCCTGTCACGTCCGGTTTCGACTGAAAAGATAGTCACACGACATCAACTGAGGAGAAAATGTCTTCTTCGGTGGGGTGACGTTCCACGAGGTAGCTAAATGAAGTCCTCTTTAGAAAAATCCTTACGCGTCTTCATTGACGTCACATTACATCCGTCTTCGATGGGCTGACAAATAAACTGGCCGCTCTTATCTCGACACTGCCGACCAGTGAAGCATCTTCCCGTATGTTAATACCAGGAACTTCGATTGTTCCAGCCGTTTTGTGACTCACGGAGGACGGTCGATAATTTTCACACATCGCGGGAAGTAAGTTTATCAACATATTCTGGGAACGCATGCTATTGTATATATAGCCAAGCATGCTACTCCCATGAATGTTTTATCTCCTGGACCATGCATACTAAGACTTCATTGGTCGCTGCTTCTCAATATGCAACTCAAATTCGCTTTCATTGCTCCCGTGATCGTTTCGTTGGTGGCCTCCGATGCCACCATCGACGAGCTCATAACCAGCAGAAACGCGAGCATAACTCACTCTGCTTCGCTCCAGAAAAACACAATCAGGGGTGCATACTGGAATTACCACGGGTAGGTCTCACACTAGCGGAA